AGAGAGAGAGAGAGAGAGAGAGAGAGAGAGAGAGAGAGAGAGAGAGCTTTTAAGTGGAAACTCTTTATTGGATTTTTTGGTGCTTTCCTTTTAAATCGGGGGAAAGCGGTTGCCTATGGAGGGGGCGTTCAGTGTAGGGATAGTCACACTGTACTGTATGTGCAGTACAGACGCACACACAATGACATAACATAGACAAATGGAAGTGACTTTTGGTTTTACACTCAACATACCAGTTTATACGAGCTTATTCATAGTAAAGTGATTTCACCATAGTCAGTTGTGTTTGATTAATGTATACCTAAATTGTTTTAAAATATAGATAGATACAATTTAAATTATCTAGCATTTAATATTATTCAGATTGTTATTGTCTTATTTAAACCGTAATTTAAAATACGTAAATGTAATGATTATGGTTTAAATCTAACGTATGTTATACGGAGTGTGCAATGTACTTTCTTAAGAAAGCTAAGTTAGTCTAGAGTTTTATTTTATTTATTTTCTTACATTTTTTTCTGGTGAACACAAAATAAAAATTTTATTTTTATCTGCTTTTTCACTACTATTTTCATATCCAGACAAATGGGAAAATATTTTTACAACTTTTTTGAAATTCATTTTCAATCTCATAAATGACTATCTATAGAAAATACACATATTTTTAAAACACGTGAATTTGATTACCCTGTTTATTTATTATGTGCCACGATTGAGCAACTCATATATAGATTCTAGATTGTTTATCACCACATTTACTGATTAAACCATTATATTTATTGTATATAATTAAAGAAATAATGTATTTATTGTGTTATGTTTTGCTATCCCATAATTAACAACACTTTAGATAAACAACATAGATTAGACATTTTTATATTATTGTGTATTAATTCTAAATATATAAAAGATAATTATATTTTAACTATTAAAGTAAATTGTAAAATATTTTCTAAATTAAAAAGATAAACAAAATAATAAAATGATTAAAACTGTTATAATTTATAACTTATAAAACGTACAACACATGCAGTGAAGTACTCTTTCGGGCAATATTTCAGACTCATATCAAACCAAATAAATTCAAAAATATTAAATAAATAATTAGAAAATTAGTCAATTTGTTAATAAAGTATTAAATTGTTTAATTTTAACATGGTCGTAATGTTTACTAATTAAAAATGTTTTTGATTTATTACAGATGGCTATTCAATGGCGGATATAATATACATATGGGGCAGAGGGCCCGGCTCTATTGGTATGGCACCGGGGCTCGAGTTGCCTCAATTCAAAGTTGTTGGTCATAAACAATCAACCAAGTTAGAAGTGCTCAGCACAGGTGAGATAAATTTGGACATAAATGACATACATATAAAATGAAAATGAGTAATTAATTATACAAAAGCAGTTGAAAATAGACCAATATACAATGGTTACATATAATTTCATAATATTACCAGTCTATATTAATTTTATTACAGTTTGAATTATAGTTAAATTAAAAGTAGCAAACAAGTCAACTAGTTTTTTAATTTACAATTAAATTGTTCATAATAAAAAATTAATTACTAAATTAACTAAAAAGTAATATAATATTTTTTGTTACCATAGGCAACTACTCGCGACTAGTGTGCGAGATACAATTTGTACGATCCATGGGCTACTACCTAATCCAAATCTACATACCGGCGTCGCTAATCGTCATAATCTCATGGGTATCATTCTGGCTACACAGGAACGCCACGCCGGCCCGGGTGGCACTCGGAGTGACCACGGTGCTCACGATGACCACGCTCATGTCCAGCACGAACGCCGCGTTGCCCAAAATTAGCTACATCAAATCGATCGACGTGTTTCTCGGCACGTGTTTCGTCATGGTGTTCGCCAGCCTACTGGAGTACGCCGTGATAGGTTACCTGGGTAAACGGATAGCCATGCGCAAAACTCGGAGCCAGCAACTTCAAAAATTGGCCC